CATATACCCATTGTGCATGACAGATTATAATACAAAATTTGAATGCTAAAAGCTAAAATCAGGATTAGGAAGGGGTTTATTAAGGGTTAATTAAATTTAATTAAGCTTATTTCTTCCAATTTTTATATTTTTAATCCAATCATAATTTATATATAACATTATATATCAAAATGATCAATTTGACGTGTAGAATTTTATAAAATATGTTGAAATATGAGGGTTGTGAAATTTGAGATATATTTTCAGTCGCCAATTTTTTTTTCCAAATTCTCGAATTACAGCTTGGCCTCCAGTCTTTATTCCAACCTAGTTAGGATCCACTCCTAACGTAACCATACTCAACCATATGGTCGGATGACCATAATCAACTGCCCAATAAATAAATGTAATGAGGCACCTTCACCTCACCCTCTCACACATTTACTATCACCTTCCATTCCTCATCATACAGCCATTTTGCATGACAGATTATCTTACAAAATTTGAATGCTATAAGCTAAAACCCAACATGAGATAAAGCTTATACTTCATCCTCATATGTCATGTAACATCAATTAGTTAGTATAACAAACACATTTGCGTGAAAGCAAAACATTGCATAACAAAAAATCTCATTATTCTTTATCTTCATGGTTGTTCACAGTACGCTCTTTAAAACATGCAAGCAAAATACAGGCCCTCTTGGTTCTTATTCTTGATATCATTTTAATATTTGCCAGATTTAACAAATTCATTAATAACTACTACTCAAAAGAAGCAAAAAGTTGACTCGGCCTTATCTTCATTTAATATCTTTGAAGATTTTCAAGCCCAATAACACTCGCCTGTGAAGAGAAAAGTGAGAAGGCTAACTATTTTCTTGAAAACTTAAACTTAGCCAAAAAGGACTCTGAGCTATTGATCGGCACTTTTGAGTTTTACACTATTTGTTGTCAAAACTTTTGATGTTGTCACATTGTTTTCAAATTTCAACCTGTAACTCTCCAAAATGGCATCAATTTTCTTGATGAATTTTTTGACATATTCTTTAATCTTTTGCTTGGCTATTATGATTTTCATCAAGAGAATGTCCTTTTCCTTCAAAGATGTCAATAGCTTTCCAATCTCCTTGCAAACCTAATATAAACTACCTCTTTAAGTTAACATTCTTTGTTTTCTTATGACTATTGGCTAGGAAAAAAGAAATTTTCCAATTCAACATTAATCTCCTCATCATTGACATGTTCAAGTTGCTTAGCAATTGGTTAGATGCTCATCAAGGCACTCAAAAAACATCAAAGTTGAGATCGAAGGCAAATGAATTTAACTTTCACAATAAAAAAGTTATCTTGCTGCCTTAATATATAAATTGAAGCTTCGAAGAGGATAATGGCAAGATTCCATTTTAGTGTTTTGGATATCAAATCTTCTCAGCGATATAATTGACTTCCCCTTATTGACTCCTAAAATAACTAGAACCTCCACTTCTACAGTCAAGTTCTCCAATTATTGGCACCTCCCAAAATAACTAATACCCCCACCTCTAGAAAAATATCAAAAACGTAAGGCATGTTTGGGACATCTTTCTGCCTACTTTGTTTTTCAAACCGCCGCCACAGTTTTATTTGGAGAATTACTTTCTCGCTGTTTTCTAGAAGTTTTTATGATTGAAAGTTGTTTTTCTCAACCTGGTCTGTTAAAGTGCGGTGGCAGTACGAATGACGTCTTATGTTTTAATATATATATATATAT